CCCCCCCCTTCCCTCTTCCCCCCTCCGCCTTCCCTTATTTATTCTTGGACCTGAACTTTTAATACTCCAGTCATTGAAGAAGTGAGTTGTACCCACAAAAGCTCATGATACCATCTACATGTTTTGTTAGTCTTTAAAGTGCTGCTAGAGTATTGATTGTTTTTTCAGTTTTTTCAGTTATAGACTAACTCAGCTACAGATGGACATCATACCCAAAGGACTGAAAGTGAACAATCCATTAAGATCAACATACATTTGATCTGAGGAAGTGGGTCTGGCCCACGAAAGCTCATCATCTAATAAACCATCTTGTTAGTCTTTAAAGTGCTACATTGTCCTGCATTTTGCTTCAGCTACCCCAGACTAACACGACTACATTTCTATCACTATTCTACCCCTCTGAAGCATTCAAGTCAGAATTATTCATGGGCTCCATCCTGGGAGCTGTTTACTCTCACACAAGCAAGCATTTTCTGTCACCTAACTCGGTGGATACTTTTATGGTTCCCATCACTTTGCTATTTGATATATGTATCATTTCTTTCTTTTTTTCAAAAATAAAATGTGCTTTTAAATCATATTATCTTTGTTTTTTATACCTTACTATTTTATTTGTAAAAGCTCCTCCAAATGTCTCGTGGATGGGTGTGAAGCAAGTAATTTGTTTACAATTTTTCTTATATAGTTTTACTACTACTATCTGATATATATGGGTAGTATTAATTCTTTGTGGTTACACAGTGCTTTACCATCTGTAAATCTCAAAGCACATTACAAATGCCGGGTAAACACTTTAATTTTATGTTGCAATTAGCCTGAAAACTGAGATTTGAAACAAACTTTGTGAGAGGCAATGTGGTCCAGTGGACAAGGTATGAGTCCAGCAGGGTCCCCAGATCTGCCCTAGGTTTCCCACATAACCATAAGTGAATCACTTAAATTATGTTCCTCAATTGTCCCCAGATGCTTCACTGATAGAGGAATGTCATTGATCTTTATTTTGAAAGGGTTACTTGTGCCGTATCTTAGCCATCCATGCTAGGCCTTAGCTGAGCCTTTATCAAGCCTCTATCAGTTCTTCTGAATTATGTAGCAATTCCAGTTATCAGTAGTGTGACATTTTAAAGAATTAGACCTGGATTTGTGCCATTTAGATAAGTCTAGAAAGAGAGAAAGAAAGAGCTATGCAGGTGTCTGGGCCTAAGTGTTCATTTGTCTAGGACACTAGTTCTACATGTCTTTTTTCAAACTTTTTTTATTGGTTTTATTACAACTACGTGGCAGAGAGAAGTACAACTCTCCTTCTTCTCCAGCCTTCTTTTTGGCAGGTAACCCCAGTGCTACAGACAGGTGGTCTATTATAGACTATATGATTGAAGTCAGGCATGTGCTTAAGCACTTTACTAAACTGAGGCCTCATTTCTAAAGTAAGAAAACTGTTAAAAACCCTACATAAAACTTTCATCTGCTTTCAACCCTGAATTATGCACTGTCAGAAAGTGCTCAGATCAGGCTCACCAATGCGGGTGGGGGGGGAGGGGACAACAGGGTCTAATTGGGCCACAATGATTCAAAAGGGCCCGGGGCTCTTTAAATCAGTGCAGGAGCCCTATGCAGTGCGTCCCAGTCAGCACTAGGAACTGGGGGAGAACAGGGCACCATGGTTTGAGCGATACAGGGCTGACTACCCTGGCCCTGGCCTTTCCTCCCAGGGCCCCGCCCCTTCTGCAATTGTAGAGCTTCCCCACACCTTGCTCAGGGGTCTGGAGAGTGTGCCGGTTCCCCTAACTGCAATATACAGTGATGGGGATGACATAAGATGACAGATTAGAACTAATGTCTCAGACATATGAACACTGAGGTACAGATATTTAAAGATATTTAGGTGGTGTAGCCCACAGCACTCTAACACCTAACAGATTTAGGCTCTTAGGTGCCAAAAATCCCATCAACAGTTGATGGGATTTAGGCTCTTAGGAGCCTAAAACACTTTTGAAAATGGTCTTTATGCAAAGCATGACAACACTTGTGTCCTTTTAAAAAGCTGTACTTTGGTGGCTTCCCAAAATATCACTTTTTAAATATTGAAAATAATCGTATTGAAATGGGCAGAACACAACCATGATAGTGTTGACTTTTATAAGATTAGGTTGACAGTGCTGAGTGTAAAACCTGATTGCCACGTTAAGTTCTAAACCACACTTTATATCTACATCAGCATTTTCCCACTCAAATACTTATCGCTTCACTGGACTTTGTATGGGCTAGGAAATATTTTAATCAAAATGAGATAACTGGAGAGAACGGCCAAAAAAATGCCTCCTTAGGTCAATGTTATTTGAAACTATCTGAGCAAACATAACTGATATAAAACAAGGCCTTCTAGAGACATTTTCATCCGTAGACTCACATTCTTCTTGAAGACTGCACACTGAAGACTGCAATGGAAAATAAGGTGTTCTGGTTACTGACCCTTTCACTCATTGTGGGACTCAGCAATGCCTTGCTGCGTAAGTGCATATTTAAATATTATGGTCAGGGGAGTTGTCATGCATATGCTCAAACCACCTGAAATTAACCAACACTAATTTTTGAGTATTGTTAAATAAGGTGTTTCTCAAAGATCCTGTTTCATAATTTCAGTAATGTTAAATATTAAAGCAACTATTATGTTCTGTGTTATGTTGAGATGCAAAACTTAGTGTACTTTTCCCATAATGACTCAGAATGAGAATGAAAATTAGGACCCCTCTAATGGTTTTTCTTGTCATGAGGGAGAAGGGGGTAGCCAAGATTTTTGAGATCTAATAAATTATGTTTCTTCCTGACATGCAGCATTAACTAGATGTGGGTCTGTTTTTTCTAATAATCATGTTTTTATCTGGAGAGATTTGTCCAAATAGGGCCTAATTTTGATATGTTTGTGTAGTGTTCTACTGACTTCATGGAAAGCTGTTTGTATTCAAGGAAAAAATGACTCCAGAGGTAGGAAAAATTGACTTGGAGGAATTAAGTCTAATAGGGCATGTCAACATGAGGTGTAACAGTTAACTCGAACTAAGGACTTAATTCGAGTTAACGTTTGACTGCCACATGTAGCCATGGGCAGTTAGTTCGGACTAAGGGGATTTAAAAATGGTGCCCGGACGGGAAGATGCAAATAAAGCCTGGGATATTTAAATCCCGGGCTTCATTTGCAACTTTGAATGCCTATGTTAGCCTTCCTAGTTTGAACTAAGGGGCTAGTGTAGACATACCAATAGGCTGCGTCTAGACGGGCAAGTTTTTCCACAAAAGTTACAGGTTTTGCAAATCCTATTGAGAATTATTTCATAATTTTATACATTTTAAAAATTTATGAACTTGTTTTGGATGTAAGTTTCCAGCAAATCAAACATGGCAATATTTTTGTATTGTAGAGGAAGCAGATAGTGGAGCTATATGTCTACCTTGGAATTTTATACTGCTGCTAGTCCCATATCATCTGAAAGCCTTCCATGAACATAGACCAGCAACAGTGAAGCCCCTAGAGGACTTTGTGCTAGAGCAACTAATCCATTTAATGGTTCAAGTTAAATGCCTTCTAAAGTATATACACCAACGTATATAAATTACATACCTCAGATTTTAGTTTGAAATATGAGGAATTTTAATTCACAAATTTATAAGACACAGTATTACAAAATCCTTATTGTGCAACCCCCCCAAAAGCTTTTGCTAAGGCCCTAGTTATGCTACCATTATAGTATGTGGTATATGCCATTGACTTCAGTGGGCAAGATCAGGCTTTAGGAGCTGCAGAACCAGGATGACCCCCTACAGAAGTCCACTCAACTCCCAAAAAAGGCCTGCTCCTCAGAACCAGGCTATGAGTGTGTCTTTAGTACTTAGATAGCATCATACATGTACAGCATGCTTTACAAATTCCGTACATAGACAAGAGTCCTGTTACATGGAATTTGCTATTTATAAAGGGTGAGAGAATCATGTAAAGATTCCATTTTCCAGAGAATCTAAGTATTTCAAACTTGGAAGTTTGGTAAACACACCACTCCCACTAAGTAAAGCAGCAAGAAAAGTTTTCCAAATAAACAAAAACTAACAAGGACTAACTTTCACATTGGTAGTATTATATGATTTAAGCAAAGAACTCAATAAAGTAAACCTATTCCCACATTTGCCTTTCTACAGTAATTTTTGCAAGTCTGCTCTCAGCTTTTCTTTGGGATGGTACACAAATGTAATCCACTGAATTCAGTGCAGTTACTCTTAGTTTACATCAATTTAAGATGAGAATTAGGTGCTTTATATCAGCTACAAAAAAGCAGGGACAAATTCATCTCTGACATAGCTAGAATTGGGCTCTTAGTATTTTACAGTTACAACTTTATCCTACCTGTAGTTGTATATCTTTTGTAGCAAAGGAAAACTACTGAAATGCTCACTTGTTGCTGTGCTGGCAGCTTCTTTTGGAGAAAGACTGTTAATTATGCAAAGCGGCATAGAGGTTTCATAGTGGTAAGAGCAAATAGCCAGCACTCACAAGCAGTGTTCCCTCTAAGCTGTGGGGCAGCACAGCTCCACAGGTGATTAATCAGCCTTGCTCAGTCAGTCAATTCTTTGCAGGGAGCCCTGAACCTCTGATTGGGCGGGACTGATTAATCACCTGTGAAGCTTTGCTGCTCCACAGCTTAGAGGGAACACTGGTGACATTACACAACACTGGTGACAGGACACTGGACTCATTTAAACTGTGAATTAGAACATAGCTCTTCAGCAATATAAGCCAAAAGTAATCCATTTCACTACTTGGTCCCATTGCAGAGGGACTCTTTTGAGCTGGGTCTATCTGGGCTTCTAATACTGCTGTCATCTGAAGAAGTGGGTTTTTCCCACAAAAGCTACATGTTTTGTTAGTCTTTAAGGTGCTACCAGACTATTTGTTGTTTTTAAAGTTTTTCCTGTTACAGGCTAACTTGGCTTCCCCTCTGAAGCTTTCATAATACATTGCTTAGGCACCTCTGCAGTGCCCCTCACTCCCAATCTGCAGCCCCCTGCTACCTGCCTGGGTATTTCTCAGATCTGTGGTACCCCTGACTTCTGACCCACATGTGCATGAAAGTGTAGTTTACAGAACAGTGCAATTTATTGCTAAAATAACTCAGGCATCCTCATTTAATGAAAAACGTCAGACTATTTACCTTGTACTTTGTTTTAAATAGCTCCAGGAGCATGTGATGTGCAACCAAATGCAAGAGAAAACTGTGGGTATCCAGGCATCTCGGAAATAGAATGCGTTGCAAGACAATGCTGCTTTAATTCAAATGCCCCAGATAGCCCCTGGTGTTTCAACCCAGTTACAACGGAAGGTAAGGGTGTGAAGGATGTCAGTTTTTCAGTGCTGGCAGACTGACTTTTATTTGCATAAATCCCAGTTCTGCAAGGTGTTGAACACCTTTACCTTCCATTAAAGCCAATAAAGTCACTATCAGGAGAGTCCCATGATTAGATAAATGTCATAATAAACTAGGAATTGGTGCTGTCAGAGGTGCTGGAATAATTTGTATAGTGTGTGTGTAGGAGGGAGGGGGGGCTGAGAGCTATTGCACCAAACTGTAAACTCTTCATATAATGGAAACCACTTCCCCAATGTTCCCTCTATTTTTTTCCATCCATGTGTGGAATACATTTTGTTATGTGCACTGAGGCATGTGTGAATGTGCACCAGAAACACATGCTGCTGGCTGTGGACACTAGACATTCTGCCTATCCGCTTGGTGGCATCTGAATCTCTCAGGTGTGGCCATTCAAGTGCTCAGCTTACAGGGGACACTGGTTATCAGTCATCTCCAATTAATAGATACATTTTAAAAAACAGATGAGGAAACAGAGGAAAGATGGAGGGGATTTGGGAGGCTGAGGAGAATCTTGTTTAGACTGGTTTTCAGCATATGCCTCTCAATTATTTTTCCATCTCCTTCCTATTCAGCATATTCTGGCATCCTTTTATGTGAAAATATTTAGAGTTCGGTTACTAGTTTGTTTCTTTTATGGAAGGCAGGGGGAAATTAATCTTAGTCCTATCTTTCAGAATGCGATCACAGTGTTTGTGAAATGGGTTTTGTTAATATAGTAGAGCTTGAGATAGGTAATGCCCTATGCAGTAATCATTTTAATTTTTTCCTTCTCCACCCAGAATGTCAACTATAAAATGGATATTCTCTAGAAACCTGCCTCTCACAATGGAGTTCTTCATTCATGACAATGACCGAGTGCTCACATCTGTACAATGTTTGCAGTCTGCAATGATGCTGATTTCCAAGCAGGTCATTTCTGGTCCCTCTCTTTTCTTCACAATGACATAGTTTTCCACTGTAGTCTCTTTTCTATACTTTAGTAAAATGTACCAGCCTGAAACAATAAAATAGCAAAGCAAAAATTGTGAGATGCTTCTTTGGTATTTTTGTTGCCCTTTCCTGCCCTGGCCTTTCTCTGTCAATCCCTTAGCCAGCTCGGGTCTTCTCCCCCACCCCCCAACTCTCCTTCTCTGTCCTCCCAGCCCCCTGGCCAGCAGGGTCCTTTTCTCTCCACCCCAGCCCAGCCCTCCCTGCTGGCAGGCACCTTTTCCTCCCTCCCAGCCAGCAGAGCTTTCTCCCCTCTGCTCTCCCCGCCCCCACCATGGTACTCCGTCCAAGGGCCAGGGGAGAGAAAGGGTTTGGGGAAGGAGGGCTATGCCACCGTTTTGGTGGCAGGCAAGATGGCGAACCCCAGCTCTGCTGGCCACTGTCTTGCTGGCACAACTGTCCCCAGTGGTCACTCTGCAGTATAACTCTCTGCTCGCTGCCCCCAGTTGTCACTTTCAATATTGTGCCCCTCCATGTTATGGAGCAGTCCTGTTCCAGGCATTTCCTATTTTCCTGACACAACCAAACCCTGGCCTTGCTTTAAGTTAGGAGAAGAGGAAGCTGCATGCCGAATTTGATGGTGCTAACTCATCATTTAGGAGGAGTTTTTGAACAGACTCAGAGATGGACAGACAAACAGAGAGACAGACATTTCTAAAATATGTAGATAGATAAGGCCTTTGAGTCATGTCTCTTGTGCATTCAGACTTGCCCTTTGCACCCTTTTTTGTGTCTCACATCTCTTCTGGGATTGCTCTAAAACAATATGTGCAACCCACCCCGGGAGACAATATTGCTCTGGCACTGTCTAGAGTATCAACAACTGCCATAATATCCCCTCCCTCCCCCCACACATTTCTTTATACAGTATTTTGTTTGCCTCTGCTGTGATAGTGCTACTGTGACATTATTGGATTGCAATATGAATGTACAGATAGATCATTGTTGCAACCACTGTTACATGTTTGCACGAAATGGGTAAAGTAAGATGTATATGAAAAGCTGATGATTTCCTGATTCTGTTTATACTATTCACATGTATGTACCGTTTTTCTATTTGAAGTTATGAGAATTGGCTAGATATATATTTATATATATTTCAAATGTTTGCTTCCGGGGCTATGTCAACACTGCAGGCTTCTTGTGCAAGAACTTTTTACACAAGAGTTCTTGCACAAAAAGTTCTTGTGCAAGAGCACGTCTACACTGCCATGTGCTTTTGTGCAAGAGATGTGTTTTTGCGCAAGAGTGTCCATGTCAGTGTGGATGCTCTCTTGTGGAAGAAAGGTCTGATGGCCATTTTAGCCATAGGAGTTTCTTGCTCAAGAAACCCCTGTTGGCTGTCCACACATGCCTTTTTGCACAAGAACGCTTGTACAAAAGGCTTATTTCTCGTAGAAAGAGGAATAACTCTTGCGCAAAAAGCCCTGAGTTCTTACAATTGACTGTACTTTTTCTTGCGAAAGAATGTGCTTGTAGTGTGGATGCTCCTCAAGTTTTTGCACAAAAACTCTACATGTAGACATAGCCTGGGAGATATCAACAGAAGGGTGGACCAGACTATTGTGAGAAGACTATTAGTCAAGTGAATAGCAGTACTTGACTGACAATGCACCTAGGGTGGTACCAAGCTACATTGGATGAGCTTTCATGTGACTGTTCAGGTTAGCACATTAGCAATAGCTGCTGCCTCAAAAGGACTGAATCATGCATTGGCAGGTGACTTTCTTATGTGACAAACTGTATCTTGGGACATACTTTTACACTGGGAGTCATTTAACAGGGGTAAGGTTATAAAAAGGGCCCTCTGGGTTCCTCTAATTGTCTTCAATCCAGTAATCACCTGTGATGGATCTCTGCTATGAACTGAAGCCTGACAGGACAGTTGATCCATCCTAACTGAGCATATATTCCAAAGACTTGAACTAAGACAGCAGATTATTCCCTCTTTGCTACAAGCCTGCCCCAAGAGCTTTGCAATTGGTGTATATAATTTGATTCCTTTAACAATTTTAACCTCTCACTTTTTCTTTCTTTCTACTTATTAATAAATCTTTATATTTTAGATTTGAAACGGTTGGCTAACAATGTGCTCTATTGGGTAAGATCTGAGTTATAAATTGACCTGGGACTATGGCTGATCCTTTGGGATCAGAAGAACCTGTTCTGATTTGGTGAGACTATCAGTTCAGTCCCTGCTGTGTGCCGACTCTTGGCCAGCAGGCCCGCCTCATCCCCTGCTCCGTTTCCAGACAGGTGGTGGATCGTTATGTATCATCTCGGCTGCCTTTTACATGCTCCCCCTCTCACTGTCCTCTCCCTGCTGTGCTCCTTCACCCCCTTAGCCCCACTGCTCCCCCGTACTATCCCTCCCAAGCAGGGTGCATCCTGCTCCCAGTACTGCACAGAGAACCAGCCCCTGGTCAGATCATTCAGCTCAGCAAGAGTGTGGCTGGCAGGCTCCTTCATCTCCCTTTCCCCTGCCTCTGGCTGGGCTGGCAGCCATGGAAAGCTCAAGACCCTCTGGCCCAGGACGCTGCCCAGGAGGAGCCAAGCCCCGCATGTGCCAAAGGCCCGCACAGCGCTGGCACGGGGAAGCGCTGGAATGGTGCGGAGGAAGCTCTTTCCAGCCTTTTCCTGCCCCAGTCCTGTAGGCTCTGCAGCAATCTCCAGGGGAGGGGTGCTTAGCATCTTCTTCAAATGCTACCTTCTCCCTAGGCCCTGCCCCATGGTTAGCCCTAGGACTGCAGGTCAGGGGTTGGGCCTCTAGGGATGTCTTCCTCTGGGTGCTTCACCCCTCACCCTTCCTGGCCTCTGGGCAGGGAAGTCCCTTGGGGACTGCTGGTTTATGTCTGCACTTGAGTTTGGAGGGTCTAGACTCTGGAGGGTCTAGACTCTAGAGTGTCTCTTGGGCTCCCTTCCCAGCTTCTTGAGAGCTAGTTACCCTAATTCAGGCATACAAGTGACCTGATTTTGCAAGTGCAGAATACTAACAGTTGACTTAAGTGGGAGCTGAAAAATTGTTCCACTTTGTAACGTACCAATGTTTGAAAAATTTAACCTAGGGGTTTATGTTGAGACATATTACTACTTGAATTGTTTCAGCTTGTACTTAGAAGCTGAGAGAGTCCTGCTATCGATCAAATTTTGACTTATGCTGCCATCTACTGAGGGTTTAAGATTTCATGGGTCTTCTGTTTTGCGTCAGTAAAGGTTGTTGCTGTGGAAAAGGCTCACTAGGATAAATTATTCATGGCAGTCACATTGGTTAACAAAAAGTGAGTTGGCTTCACCAGGGAATAACTGCCTCACTTCTTACTCTTTGTTTGGAAAAAAACCGAAAGAAACTAAGGAGCTTTGTTGTGTTTTAGCTTCCTAACAATTTGAGGCATGTTATATGCAAAAGGACTTAATATTTCAAAACCAGTTTTCTGTGTAAAATGCTAAACACAGCTAAGTTAGGTCACAAAACTCAAGAGAAAGCTCTAACAACCTCGGTAGCAATGCAGTGTAACACACGGCAATGGTAAATGTACAGCTCCTTGCTCTATCCTTTACAGACAGATAAATCTTTTCTGTGATTGTGACACTGAAAGCTGCATCATCCGAGTGCTGCTTTTCTCAGTACTGCCAGTTTATTGATGTGTAGTTCCTACAGCTTGCCAAGAGCATTTAGGGATAAAATCCCACACAGATCTTTGAAAATTTTGGGATAAAGCTGCCTCCTTACCTCTTCTCCCACACAGTGGCAGATTAATGTCTGGGCCAATGGGACCTGTGCCAAGAAACCCTGGCCAATTTGTGAGCCCCCAGAAAAATCTCATGTTGCTAGGGCAGGATGATTTAGCTGCTGCGTCCTCTGCTGTGCTGCCCATGCCGGGGGCAAGATTTCTTGGCTGAACTGGTGGCGAGATCAGCTAGTGAGTGTGGCTAGAGGGAGCAACAGGAGCTACCATCTCTTCCTCTCCTGCTTGTTGTTTCTTTTGAGGCTGCCCACATGGGCTTCTTATTGCTGCTGGTGACAGGGTCTCTCTGCAACCTGCCACATGTAGCTGGGCAGCCAGGGTTAAGTGGCAAAGGAAGATGGGGAGCACCACCTCCTGCTGCATCTCCTCCAGCTCCACGCTGCACAGGAATGCTCACTCTCAGCTGGAGTCCTATCACTTTGAGCCTGAGCCCTGAGGACATGAGCTGCAACCTGAAGTACATCAGTGGCCAGGAGAACACTGATGTTAAGGGACAGAGGGGGAGAGCGCTGTGGGCTGGAGAGCTGGGGAAATCCCCACTACCTCAGCTCACAGGGGCAGCCCTCAGGGAAATGCAGCCCCCACAAGCACACAGGCTGTCAAGAAGAGTCCTATCACTTTGAGCCTGAGCCCTGAGGACATGAGCTGCAACCTGAAGTACATCAGTGGCCAGGAGAACACTGATGTTAAGGGACAGAGGGGGAGAGCGCTGTGGGCTGGAGAGCTGGGGAAATCCCCACTACCTCAGCTCACAGGGGCAGCCCTCAGGGAAATGCAGCCCCCACAAGCACACAGGCTGTCAAGAAGAAGCTTTTGTCACCTCTTCCTTGCCTCTCAAAGTTAAATCACTTCTTCCCCCTCTCCCTTCTCCTCCCCCCCATGACCAATTCTCTCCCCTCCTCTTCCCGTTTTCTTTTTCTGTGTCTTTTGCTAGTTGCAAAATGTATGGCGAGAGAGACGCTTCAGTTTTTATGCCTCTTCAGTGTTTTGAGGCCTTTGGATGATCTGTCCTTGCATGGCACAATGCAGCATTATTTAACCCATTTTAATATGTCATGATGTATCCCTATTTACTCCCACCTGCACCCTCAGAACTTTGTGGATCCCTCTTCCCCATGCACATGGGTCACAGCCTTGGATTCATGCACATTGTGATATGGCATTAGTATTGGCTGGCCTGCTCAGCTGACATGAGGCCTTCTATAGCATTGCTCTCCCACCTCCGCACTGCATGAAAGGCTACAGTGCTATTTTCCCCAGACCAGACTTTTAAGATCCTTGTGTGTATTTCC